ACTGAAGGGGTTTGGAATTCTAAGCAGCAATTTATCATTTAAGTTATTATTATTAGGGATGTGCATTTTGGTTATTTTTCCTGACAGATAAATCTATGCTAATATCATTACAACAGTTTACATGAAATGTGTTTTACTTAACACAAAACAAAAAACAAAAAAAGGGCGGCTGTGTAGGCTACGCTGAGTTTAACCAGAGACTATTTATATGGTTTAACTTGAGTCGTCACAAAAACAAACCTAAAGAAAACTGAGACGGCTGAAAGCACATCCTGTTTGTTTATTTTACAAATTACATTTTTTTACAATCACTAGGACACATTTCTAAATAATAGGTCACTTTTTCAAAACTCTTCACACAGTAATCATAACAGTCTATGTGAACTAAACTGTGATCAGTTATCTTTGGTTTTTAAATTATTATTTAATTATATATACAAACATTAAAACTTTGTACTATACAGGCCAATTTGCATGTTTAATATATTATCAATATCAAAACAATTAGATGTAACTGATCACCTACACAAGTGGTTACCATGTAACATAAGCATGCTTACTGCAGTAGAGTATCATTCTTGTTTTGTAAAGTAATCACATTTTTTCACAAACATCAGGTAGCATTATACAATGTTTTGTTAATTTTTTTGTAATCCACTCACAGCACTGATATATATTTAGCCATTTTTCTGCTAACCTCTGTACACAAAGAAACCGTTTTTTATAAACACAGGTTTCTTTGTATACAGTCTAAAACAGCTCGAAAGACTTTAATTCACTATATTTTGCCAATATACAAGCTAGCTAGTTGCAATGTGTTATTTAGCTCATTTTTAAACATGGAACTAAAACTAGCGAATTATATAAATGTACAAAATAATCTGAGTGCAGGGTTTCTACAGGTATCTTCAAATTAAATTTAATGCCTTTTTAATGCCATTTTAAAATGTTTTAATGCCATATACGACCCATGACTAACCACATATATATATTAAATGTTTTTTTTCTGGAACACATAGATGTAAGGACGGGTCGCATGAATGGTGGTGTTTCATTAGTAATATTATTATTAGTGTTTTTGTTGTTGTTATTAATAATAGGTGTTGTCAGTGAACAGGCTGTAAAACTGTTGTCTAAGTTACAGACACTCATGAAAAACTCATGCTAATTATCTGGGAAACGTTACTCTAGCAGCAATCAAGTTGCCATTGTTTGTGTCAAACAAGTTGTGAATTTTTTGTAACATTAAAACAGGAGATCATGACTTATCTTGAATCTTACCCAGATACAATAGTGCTATTTTCTAATTGGCTAATGTGTAGACCCTTTCTTTTTTTTTGATTGGCTGATAAGTGGCAGGCTCGACTAGTAAGAACTGCATGGGAGACGCGCTTGATTCCTGTCGGTTCCATAGTGATAGCGACGCGGCCAGAGACATTTGGGGCGCTGCTGCATATTCAGTAGGCCTATATTATAAATAGTTTTTCAGCGTGAGAAATACAATGTGTGGCGGGAGTGCGTGACAAAAGACCGAAATGAGTGACTGTCACGCTCAATGCGTGACACTTGAGAGCCCTGCGTCAAAGAGTATAGAAGAACAATATACGGTCTTTGCCTGCGTTCTGTTGTTGTGGCTCGTGCACAACACTTCTCTCGGACGCGAGCTTCAATCCGTTGCGGAGAGACTCTCTTTACTCGCTACTAGCAACATATATTAGATCTCATTAAACACAATGTACCATTTAAATCTAACGCCGATTTGTGGCCGTCACACTGCATATGGGGTTTTACGGCGCTGATTCCCATTGTCCACAACTTTAAATGCTTTTACAAACGCCGCAAAATCCTTAATCATTTTTACCACTAACGGGCTGCCTGCAACCATGTCTTAAAAGTTTTGTTTTCCAGACACTTTGGCTGGAATTTGCACTCTCATTTTTCCAAGGTTCAGACCTGTCCACCGCTGTACAACAGACCCGCGTCACCTCTCCGCATCACGGCACTTTTGCTCCGGCCAGAAGCAATTACCAAACTGGTTCCGCGTATTTATCACAAACGTACATATTTTGCGACAGCAAATACAAATTATTAATTATGGAGGCTATATTCAAATAAATTTATATAAAATTCTCTTAAAAACTATAAAAAAAAATTAATGCCTGTAAGAGTCAAATTTAATGCTTTTTAATGCCTTTTAAGGCCTTAATTTTCGCAAAATCCATTTAAGGACTATTAATGCTTTTTAATGCCCCGCGGAAACCCTGTGAGTGGGACGTGAGTGTAACATTTGGAAATTGCAACTATAAAACAGTAAGAATAAAATCAATTCAGGTACAGGTAGCCTACAGCTTACAATTCACTCTCTTCTGAATTTATTCTGTACGTCAGATTGAGGGGCAATTTGAAACTTTTATGCTTCCATCTGAGGCCGTTTCGTCCGATGCCTAATTGTACACGACCTGATGTTGAATATAATATAATACCTGTAACTGGAGCCATACACTGAAGTCCACATCCATTGCTGCAGCATTTCTGATTGTTGGCACAGTCACTGTCATCGGCACACGGCACGAAACGTATCCGGGCACACATTCCTGGTTTATATTTCCTGATTGGACACACTCCTGGGTTTGCTGTTATACAGACACATGATAGAGAAGCCATATCACTGAATGATTTGTAATAAGTATATAATATAATATAATATAATATAATATAATATAATATAATATAATATAATATAATATAATATAATATAATATAATATAATATAATATAATATAATACCTGTAACTGGAGCCGTACACCGAGTTCCACTGCATGCAGTGCTGCAGCATTTCTCTTTTTTGGGACACTCACTGTCATCGGCACACAACTCTTCATCCTTTTCACACATATCTTCTTCAGGGTTTGTCTTTGGACACACTCCTGGCTTCACTGTTATACAGACACATGAAAAAAAAAAAAAAAAAAAAAAAAAGTACCCTGATATATTGAAGAGAACAGGTAAATGTGACATTTATTATAATGCGTTTTTGTTAAGATTGTTTTAAGTTCACTTAAATTATAAGTTGTTATATTTTTTTAAAGCCTAATAAATGTTAAAATTGATAGCTTTCAATTATACTGTAATGCTGAATGCCCATAATTAATGACTAAAATTAGGAATAAAATCTATTTCATAGAGACATCAAGAGCAGTATTGGTATCAGTGATGGCATCTTTTTATGAAAGGCATCAAACATTTGAAATATCTGCTACGGTCTTTGTTTCGACATTAAATGTTATATATATATTTTTAAATTGTAGTAATTTCAAAGAACTTGAAATGCTAGGTGCGAATAATTGAACTTAATTACAGAAAATGTGAGATTAATTAGTTTGTTTTATCGGCCGCACTTAATATAATATAATATTACCTGTAACTGCAGCCATACACTGAAGTCCACATCCATTGCTGCAGCATTTCTCATTGTTGGCACAGTCACGGTCATCGGCACACGACACGAAACGTATCAGGGGACACTTTGCTGGTTCATATGTTCTGATTGGACACACTCCTGGCTTTACTGTTAAACAGACACATGACAGAGAAGCCATATCACTGAATGCTGAATGAATTTTTTACCGGAGCTTTTGGTTCTTTTGCTGTTGTAGGCTGTAAAGACCTTTAAAATAACTGAAATCATTTGACGAAGTGATATGGACATGTACATAATGCAGTCAAGACCTGCCTAGCAATTTCTGATCTAAAACAGTTTATATACTAATTTTGTTTGTTTTTTGAGTGTGCACGTGTTCCTTCTGAAAGACCTCTAGTATTATCCATTACTAACTGAAACTCACTGAAAGCAGGCGACACACACACACACGTGTATAACCTGATCATGAAAAAAAAATCAGATCATCATTTTTTCCTGTTTAAAATGTTGTGCTGATATATTAATTTACATTTACATTTATTCATTTAGCTGACGCTTTTATCCAAAGCGACTTACAATTGCTATATATGTCAGAGGTCGCACGCCTCTGGAGCAACTAGGGGTTAAGTGTCTTGCTCAGGGACACATTGGTGTCTCACAGTGGATTCGAACCCGGATCTCTCACACCAAAGGCATGTGTCTTATCCACTGCGCCATCACCACCCCTATATTAAGATGACTAATAGTAATAATAATAATTATTGATTATTGCTATTACAAAATACACAAAAACACTTTCAATATTAAAAATAAATATATATATTTAACAAATAAATATAACAATATAATGGATTAGAAAAGAAAAAAATTTATTTTACAGAAAACTTAAAGAAAAACTGCAGGGTTACCCGTTAACATGCAGGCAGTCTATGACTAAAAAATTGCATCACAATTAAGTGTAATGTGATTGTCAAAACATTTGGTGACTAAATCTCATTAAGATTAGTAACAACATGCAAAAATGTTTAAACCAATTAATGTGGATAAACATCAGGTATAGAATATAGCTACATGTTCATTTTTCTCAAGGAAAAAAATAAAATAAATCTCACTAATGCTGTAAACACTAATGCTGACGTACAACCTAGAAGCTTTGCGTAGTTTCACTACGTGAAATATCACGGCTGTACAGAGATGGAAATGAATAACGTTAGTTGAAAAAAGTTTTTTTTTTCTTTTTTTTGGCGCACAAAAAGTAATTCTCGTTGCTTGATAAACTTAAGATTGAGCCACTGTAGTCACTCGGACTATTTTAACGATGTCTTTCATAACTTTTGGGCTGGCCAGTTTCGATCCCTTAAGAAGCCTATGCAGGAGTGATCCAGCTCTCAGATTTAATCAAATATCTTAATTTGTGTTCCGAAGATGAACGAAAGTCTTACGGGGTTGGAACAACAAGAGGGTGAGTATTTACTGACAGAATTTAAATTTTTGGGTGAACTAACCCTTTAAAAGGTTCAAATTTAACAACTCAAATAGAATGCAGTGTTATTATAATAGTTAATGTGTGTGTCCTACCGTTTCTCACTCCGCATGACTCCTCACACTCTTTCTGGCTGTTGAACCTGTTGCCATTTCCCTTGCAGCCTCCATATATGAAGGACACACACTTTCCCGCAGCAGAATCGAAGGCCCACATGGGCATGTATGCTTCACAAGGACCAGCGTCTATAGGCAGTCTGCAGGCAGCTAGATGGAGAAAATACATTATATATTACGACTACACCAAGATGTGCTGGTCACTATGGGCCTCTCAGCTGGGCCGTAATCCATCTTTGGATCACACACACACAAAAACACCGGTCTCATAAACACACACACATTGGTGCAGTTGTTTGAGTAAGGGTTAATGCCCGACGAGGTGTCCATTGTCAAGTATTAATGCACGACGGCGAGCTGTGAACCGTCTGACGCGCATCGGTATTAATGGACGACGGTCGCCTCCGCCGAAGTCCATTAATACCTAGACAATGGACACCTCGAAGGGCATTAACCCGCTTATACCATGTTCACTTGCCAAATAACACATTAGTTTATATTTTAATGAGTTTTACAATCGAAATCTAAAGTTTTTACACAATAACTTGGTTTCCCTGGTTACGCCTGACGGTTTATTTAGCAACCGGAGATATTATAGTCCGCTCAGCTCGTAGAACCCTTCAGTTTAGCTAACTTACGAGCCAGAAAGTTAACGTATTTTTTTTAATGCAAGTTAGGCTTGTCTAGCCATGGGCGTTACACTTTAGTTTTTTTAACCTATAATTAAAACACACAGGTAGGAATAGTATAACGGCTAACTAGATTGTAAATGGATACTTTGACTGCCTGTTGCTATGGTTACTCACAGCTGATGTAGCCAGCGCATTTATTTATTAATTTCGAACGGTAAACAGTCAGTTTCACCAGAACCCCTTTACTAGGCTTCCTTGATCACTTTTTAAATGGACACCCTGCAGCCAATCAGAATCGAGTATCCACCCAGACCATGGTATAAACGACTGTAAAAGATGCAATTAGAGGCAATTAAGCAGAGTGTTAGATTGTAATTCAGATTGTAATACCGATTACCACTAGACTAGTGAGTTTAGTTTGACAGATACTTTGCCAAAGCAATGGTGTAAAACACAACGTTAAAGACCTCTTATGTTATGAAGTTTAAAAATAGTTTGTTCATTATGAATATGGTGAGAATTGAGGCCTTAGTGAGAACAGTTTGAATTATTCATGATCATCATAACTTCTAGAAAAAAAAAAATCTATTTCATTGAGACAGTATTGGTATCATCAGTGATGCCCGCTTTCATAAAAAAAAAGCCATTAAACAAATATTTGAAATATTAGCTACTGTCCTTGTTTTGACATTAATTTGGAGATTAAATAATTAAATGTGCAATTATTACAGTATAAAAAATATATAAAAGAACTTGAATGTTAGGTGCTATTAATTGCGCTTAATTACAGAAAATGTGCGATCAATTTTTCGATTGACCGCATATAATATATATCATTATAGAACATAACAATTAATATAATATAATGTATATAATATAATATAATGTATATAATAAAAATACCTGTAACTGGAGCCATACACTGAAGTCCACATCCATTGCTGCAGCATTTCTCATTGTTGGCACAGTCACTGTCATCGGCACACGACACGAAACGTATCAGGGCACACATTCCTGGTTCATATGTTCTGCTTGGACACACTCCTGGGTTTGCTGTTATACAGACACATGACAGAGAAGCCAGATCACTGAATGCTGAATGTTTTTTTTACTGGGGTTTTGGTTCTTTTGCTGTTGTAGTCAGTAAGGGCCTTTGAAATAACTGAAATCATTTGGCGAAGTGTTATGGACAGGACATGTAATGTGGTCAAGGGTGTGTTTCCCTGAAAACGCATTCAACTGGAAGAAGGGGCCCAAAATTCTCTCTTGCATACCCCCCTTAAAACTCTTAATGGGGCCCCTGCCCGTAGTATATAATATAATATAATATAATATAATATAATATAATATAATATAATATAATATAATATAATATAATATAATATAATACCTGTAACTGGAGCCGTACACTGAGTTCCACCGCATGCAGTGCTGCAGCATTTCTCTTTTTTCGGACACTCACTGTCATCGGCACACAACTCTTTACCCTTCATGATACACCTTATTTCTGCATAGTTTGTCTTTGGACACACTCCTGGCTTTACTGTTAAACAGACACATGACAGAGGAAAAAAATGAGCCCTGATATATTGAAGAGCACAGGTAAATGTGACATTTATTATAATGAGTTTTTTGTGAAGATTATTTTAAGTTCACTTAAAATATAAGTTATATTTTTTAAAGCCTAATAAATGTTACAATTGATAGCTTTCAATTATACTGTAATGCTGAATGCCTAGAATTAGGAAAAAAAATCTATTTCACAGAGACATCAGGATCAGTATTGGTATCAGTGAAGCCTTCTTTCATAAAAAGATGCCATTAAACAAACATTTGAAATATCAGCCACTGTCCTTGTTGTTTCTACATTAATTTTGAGATTAAATGTGAAATTACAATATATAAAAGTACTTGAATGTCAGGTGCGATTAATTGCGCTTAATTACATAAAATGTGCAATTAATTATTTTTTTATCGATTGACCGCACATAATATAATAAAATACCTGTAACTGGAGCCATACACTGAAGTCCACATCCATTGCTGCAGCATTTCTGATTGTTGGCACAGTCACTGTCATCGACACACGACACGAAACGTATCCAGGTACACACTTCTGCTTCATATATTGTGCTTGGACACACTCCTGGGTTTACTGTTATACAGACACATGACAGAGAAGCCATATCACTGAATGCTGAATGTCTTTTTTGGTTCTTTTGCTGTTGTAGGCTGTAAGGGCCTTTGAAATAACTTAAATAATTTGGCGAAGTGATATGGACATGTACGTAACGTGGTCAAGACCTGCCTAGCAATTTCTGATCTAAAGCCAGTGTTCAAATTGAGGGGGGCTGGGGGGTCCCAGACCTCCCATAAGCATCAAGGGACCCCCCCCCCCCAAAAAAAATTACCTTGGGGTCCCCCAGTTTTTCATTGAAACTAAATTACTAGAAACATAATATACAACGTAATATCTATTTTTTTTTTATCAAAGTATTGCGCTGCCGCTCCCATAAGAAGCTACTCCAAATTAGATTTACGTCTGAAAATACGCTCAAGTGCGCCACACGCTGTTTTCTGAAGGAATTTATAGACAGCGACGTCACTGTCAAGTCAACTTCATTTATATAGTGCTTAACAATATGGACTGTTTCAAAGCAGCTTTACAGTGATAATAGGAAATTAAAGTAACAGAGATTGTTTTGGCTTTACAGCAGCTCTAGAATAAAGATATTGTCCAGCTAAAGTTAGTTTTGATCGATTCACTTCCATAGCAAAGATCATTAGTTATTAACTTAGGGGCCGCTTACATAAAACCGTTCTAACAGAAAACCCTTGACGTGCTCCGGCCCGCTCATTCTCAGAATTATTTATCGCTTTCGAGTAGCCATGTGAACCGGAACTATTTTGACAACGTTTTATCTGTACGGAGGTAGAGGGAGGGTGGCCTTCACAGGGGAGAGACTAGTTGACACTTCAGGACTGCGTTATCGTTGTGTCCAGGCGCAGGTCCTTCATCAGATCTGGATACGGCCTGTATCCGGCGGACTGCGGTAAACCTCGGGATAAACAGACTAATATTAGCGTAGACGCCATTCTTCTTATGATGTAGGGGAGCACGGGGCACAACGTAACGCGGGGCTAGTTGTAACACCCTTGTTTTAAATACTTCCACACATGCCCAGTAGCACCTCATTGCAGTACACGAGATCCAGGGGGCGGAGTTGGACCCAGATCTAAGGGGTGGAGATGGGTAGGATTAGGGGTGGGGTTAGGGATCAGGGGGTGGAGATGGGTAGGATTAGGGGTGGGTTAGGGATCAGGGGGTGTAGATGGGTAGGTTAGGGATCAGGGGGTGGAGATGGGTAGGTTTAGGTATTTGTAAGGTGGGAGGAGTTGGATCTGGATCCACCTCCTCCCCCTGGATTTCATGTTCTGCAGTGAGGACCATCTCACTATATAGAGAAAAAAAAAATTTTGCGCCAAAATTCAGAAATCTTTGTAAGATACCACTGAACATTTTTAACCATAGCAAAAGTACATTTCTTACTTAAGTTAATGTTTTATCTATATTATTTGTGTTTATTTAAAATTAGACAACTCTGATATTTTAATCTCCAATCTGTTGTTTAACAGTTGATATAGTTCTTTAATGCTTCGCTAACTAGCAGAAGACACTAGCAGGGTTTAAACCCCAGTTGTGCAGTTGGGGCATGTTGTAACACTGCGTTACAATGTGCCCCTATAAGAAATATGCTATTATATTCTATATTCTTATGAATTCTATTGAGAAAACATGAGAAACATGTAAATAAAGACTGAGAGTCATTATTTTGTTTTGAACTATGCTGTATAGCAGTGTTTTCCGGTGTGTTTGTTGTTGTTTTTAATTATTAAAAAATAGCCATTATTTTATATGAAAAAAGTTAATTGTATTTAAGAAAATATTTTGGTTTGACTTGTATATTTTTTTTTATTAGATCAGATAGCATTTTAAGCTGTCATATGTGATGTTACAATGTGCCCCTCACATGTTTCAAAGTACCCCACCTATGGGGCATGTTGTCACATTTCTCTTCCATTCTTTCGGGGTAAATCAAGACAAAAGTACACACCGTATTAATAAAACAAAACCACACAATTATACTAGACATGAGGGAAAATAATGTGTGTAATAAATACTCTAGACCCTAAGTAGATATACACAAACTGAGAAAGTCAAAATGTGTTAGGTTGTGCCCCGCTCTCCTCTAACGAGTACATCAGGATTTACGGGAAGTGTTCCCGGTTACGGCTGACCTAATCTATGCAGCCTAACATTGAATTATAGAAGTTTATAATGTGCTATGTGTATGCTAGGTCAAAGAGATGCGTTTTTCTACACCACACTTCCGGAAAGTGTGTCTGCTTCCCCGACAATGTTAGGGGAACCTTTTCTTCCTCCCTCAATAATAATAATGATAAAATAATATGTTCATTTTTTATAGCGCCTTTCAAGAACCCTTCACAAAATACAAACAGTTGACAGACAAGAGACAGGCAATCTGCTAGTTATAACAATTAAACAAGCAGAAAAGCAGATGGAGACAACAATAATTAATAGATTAGGCAAAGAAAACATACATTTTCGGCATGAAATGCCTCAAATTAGGCATGAACATGAGAATGTATCAAGACCTTTCTAAATGTGCACTCTTTTGGACAAAAAAAAACACCTTTAAATGAAGCTCTTCTAAGTGGCCATAGCCATGTGATCACAATGTTTTTCTATGTGAAATAATGATAAATATCAGTTTACGCCATTTGATTATGCATAGCATCGAAGTTTAGCAGTCAGAGGCTACATTAGCCAAAGCTGGCCTGTTTAAAAAAATAGCCCTTGCTCGCACTGGTCAGAAAGTGGAAATGTGACCAATAATTTCTGACTGGCAATCTGGCATAATTAAACAAATCAAATCCAACTCATGGTAAGCGTTTTGCTTTTCTTTGCTTTACTCCGGGCTTAAAAAAAAAAGATAATTGTGAAAAATAGCAGTATAATTGGCGAGTAGCCTATTGTGTAGTTGGCGAGATACATTTTCATGTCGTGTTACTTTAATTCAGCGCGTGCAGCACAGCAAACAGACTCGGTGCGGAAACGATCGCTGCACTGTTGTATTCGCACCGCTGCTGGAAAGCATCGCCGGACCACATCCGCGGGCAGTGTAAAACCTGTTCAAATCAAAGCTTTGATTCGAAGCTCCATGTGTACGAAAAAAAGGCACCGCATACGCACTGCAAACAGATTATGTGTGAAACAATCGTCAGACCTTTCAATATAAAAGTTCTCTACTGACTGACTCAGATAATATGAAAATGTATATATTTACAAAGTTCATCTGGACACCTGTACACTGGTTTATGGATTTCTTCAGGCTGCGTGATGAAGTTAAAGAACATGGATCTCACCTGTGAAGTTTCGTCCTAGAGCAGCTTCCGTTGAGCTCCAGCATCCAGCCAGACACAATAACACAGTGCAGTACACTCGAGCATTCATCCTCTCCACCTGCGATCTTACAATGAACTGCTGGAACTTCAGGACGAGAGAGTATTTAAGCTAGCGCTCAACCAATGGCGTGAGTTTGGGGCGGGATGATCTGGTTTGGCGAACGGTTTAAAAAGTTCCAATGAGGTCAGACAGCTTTCAGGCTATATGAACAATGATGCCAAACGTGTCCCCCCCCTGAATACACAAACTAGTTTTGAATGACCTCAAAGGAGTATAATAGCCTACTTTTCCTCTAAACAGTAGTTTGAGATTATATCTAATACAACCCCACAGGACAGTCTTTTATGACAGTTTGTGCGGGTTGACCAGTTTGGGCACTACATCCTAAATCTGAAACTAATCTCTTGTGCAATGATAATTTCCCCTAAAGTAAACTAAATGGAAACGCCTCATTTGTGCAATGTGCATGGAGTTTAAGATGGCAGTTTTACCCCCAAGGAATTTTTTTCCTTGAAGAAAGAACGTTTTTCGACGTTTACTCAGTGTATACTTGAACATTTTGGCA